CCGGCGCCTGCCCGCAGCCGAGCGCGGCCCAGCCGGGCGACGCGGAGGCCCTGGACCTGGGAGGGGCACCGGGAAATCTGTCAGGCTCCTCAAAGGGCTTGGCTTAGAGGTCGGACAGGGGAGGGTGCAGACTGGCCAAGCCCTTTAAGCCTGGTCTGGCGAGTGGGCCATCTCAGGCAGGGGTCTAGGAAATTTGTCAACTCTTCCTGGAGAGCATCATTAAAGGTCGGCTAAAGTACAGGGGGTTTGTGTTTGTCGGGACCTTGAAAGGTATGGATTGGAAGTGGCTGGGGCTTTTAGGGTACCAAGCGGTTGGGTAAGGTTAGGAGCAATTCAGAGATTAGACAGGAGTAGAGCTGGACAAGACCCTAAGAATGTGGAACCGAGTAGAGGTTGTTGAGAGAAGATGGATGCAGGGGCAGAACTCTCAGAAAGGCAAAGGTGCAGAGGGTGACATGCCTGAGGTTAGGCCATACAATTTGGGCCTAGTGGACAGGGCCCCAAGGACATGGGACTGGGAGGATCCCAGGCACAAAGTCACCAGATTCAGTCATCCTTTCAAGAAATATTTTCAGGGGCTACAGAGCCCTTAACTCAGCATACTCTCTCCACCCAGGAGCCAACTCTGTTTAGGGCAGAGGCATGTACAGAGCTAGAAAGTTGGCATGAGGTTGAGGCACATAAGCCCTTTACCCTTCCTCTGTGAATGGTGGCGCAAGAGGTCAACGGAGGCACTGACCCAGACATATACCACGTTTATTTCACAAACATTGGGAAGATGGGTTGGGGGTGGAGATGGGGGGTACAGGTGCACAGCTGCACAGAATCGCCATCAGTAGCCCACTGCCCATACTGAGGATTCAGCCTGGACTGCAGTGCCTCCAAGTCAACAGACAGCAAGAGGAGTGCGGGGAGGGCCCTGAACACCAAGCCCCCTGAAAGGCTACGGGGCACAGCTCCAGCTGTCCCAGGAAAACCAGCAATAAATAAGAGTAGGGCACGGCCCCACCCACACAGATCACCTAGTCACCCATCTTCACTCTGGAGGTCTGCAAAAGAAGAACAGAAGTTAGGTAGGGACAAAGGAATAGGTAAGAGAATGACCAATGACAAGATCAGACCCAGCAAACCCATGTCTGGGTGGACACATCACAAAAGATGAATAACCAGGGGGCCAGGGTTATGGCTCAGTGGTAGAGCATTTGCCTAGCACGTGTGAGGCACTGGGTTCGATCCCCAGCACCACATAAAAATAAACAAATGTCTATCCACAACTAAAATAAATAAATAAATAAATAAAAGATGGATGACCAGATCAGGATAGATGCACTGTGACAAATAAATGATTGGAGACAACCAGAGTTAGGCTATAGAACAGACAGCTGGAGAGAAGAAGCATATGAACAGTGCCAGTCACCAAGAATCAACCCAGTCAAGCACCTCCAGTCACATTTATACACTGAGGCTGATCCTTAGTTATAAACCCACAGTATGAGACAAAAAAGACATGTTTTAGACATGCTGTCACAGACAGAGACATACTTAAGCCCTGAGAGAGACAAACACATCAAGCCAGACTGATAGACACTGACAAGATCCCAGCATGGTCCAGACCACAAAGACATCATCTATATTTCTAGAGACAGTAGACAGGAAGAGGATGACAAATAAACCAAATAACAGATAAATGAGAGATATACACATATAAAGCAACAAAAAAAGTAGGAAAAAAATTTTAAAGCCTTAAAAGAGGAGACAGGAGATAGGAATGAGGTGATGGAAGCTACCCAAGAATTCTACAATCCCATGGGTAGAAAAAGAAGCTCTTTAGGAGGGTAAGGATGAGTTGGAGACAAGGACACAGAGGCTCCCTAAGGGGATTCAGCACCTGAAGGATTGCGACGATGACCCCAAAGAGGCCGATGGCACTTCCAAATATTTCCACGATGAGAATCTTTACAAAGAGACTGGGGTTCTGAGCGTCAGCCAGGGCCGCCCCACTGCCCACGATGCCCACGCAGACTCCACAGAAGAGGTTAGACAGACCCACTGTGAGACCAGCCCCAAACATGGAATAGCCTGGGGAACAGAAAAGGGCTCAATGAGGCCAAGCCAGAAATGGGTGAAGATGAAGGGCTAACGGGACCAATTCCCACCCTAACCCTGATGAGCAGGCCAAAGTAACTGAGAGAATATAAAAAGGAGAAATCCAAGCTGGGAGGTAGGAAGCAGGAAGCAGCTGTGAAGCCCCTGCTTTGCATATTTACACACCCACCTACCTGCATGGTAGTTTCGATGACCAATGGCCTGAGGGTCAGTGGCAGTGAAAGGCTGCAGAGGGCAAAAAAGTAATCAGAAACCACCTGTCATGCATCCCATTCCCTATCTCTATGCAATGTGGGTAACACACTGGAATGGATGCCTATCCCACCCCAGTCTTCCTTACCTCAGCCATGTTGCTAATGACAATTGCCATGATGATGCCGTAGATAGCCACAGCCTCACAGAAGATGATGCTGGAAGTGGTAAATGGCAAAAGTAGAGACAGGAGGTGAACAAGAGAAGATGAGAAAGAAACCAACTTTCCTCCCCTGAAAGTCCCCAGCAGCCTTTCCTCATCTCATATCTCACCCTATCAAGAGGCAGGCAGCCCTTCCACAGCTGGATCTGACAACCACTGGTCTTTACACTTACCTGACCAGGTTCTTGGTCTTGATTCTGGGGGCCTTCACCCCTCCCCCAATGATGGAGGAGCCTGTAATATAGATGCCCCTGGTGAAAGGATAAGAAACTGGTGAGCACAGCCCAAGCTGTCACTGCCCCCAGGATGACTAAAACCCCAGTGACACCACCTGCCATGACTCAGTGCCTCCCCATAGTCCCACTATCCCAATATTCACCAGGCTGCCCCAACCACAGACAGGGAGATTGCTAGGCCAATGCCTAGGTTCGACCACATGAAGGGGGAAGTCTCAGTCAGGAACCTGGTGTGGAAACAAGGAAAAAAGCAGTTCAGCTCTGTTAGGAAAGGGGGCACAAAACCCTTAGCCTCCCCTCCCCTCCAACTCCACCAGTCCTAGATACTGCAACAACAGACTAAATATCTCCCATGATCCATGCCCCCAGCAGCTTGGGGTGATGTGGGGCAGGGGCTCCCACCACAGAAGAAAGCAGCAGCTCCTAGTGGAATTCTCTTCCTGCCCTCCCTTACCATGCCACATCAAAGCGGAAGCCCAAGTCAAAAATGGTGTAGCAGATCCCTGCAGTAGCGAGAAAAAAGGGTTAGGGGCTGCTCTCTAGAGAGAAGCTCCCCAACCTACAGAAGTACTGCTCAGCTGACCCGCAACCTACATCAGAGTAAAGGGAGAGTCCTCAAGCCGCCAAGTGAACCAGATACCTCCGCTCAGGCCTCCATTTTCTGCCACTCCCTCGTAACATCTCCCTCAATGACACCAAGCCCCAAGACCCTCCAGACACGCCCGGGCAGGCCAGAACGCCCTGGAGAAAGGGAGGGAGCAGGTACTCCGTCCGGGCCCGGCCGGATCCCGCCGGCCCAGTCGAGCCGCTGTTTACCCAACAAGCTGTGGGTGGGGGAGGGCAAAGGATGGGAAAAGAGGAACCGGAGCAGCCGGCTCACGACCCACACTGGTCGGTCGGGAGCAAGAAAATGAAGACAGGAGTGAAACATGAGTGATGGCAGAACTGACAGGACAGAGCTAGCACTGCTCTCGCGGCCCTCAACTTCCGCCGCCCGCGCCCTTCATAAGCAGCGGGAGCCCTGGCCTCCTCTGTCGCGTTCAGAAGCCCCAACAGGCTAGAGGCAAGACCTGGAGCCGGGGGCAGAGGGCTGCGCTGGGGCCTGGTATTGCTGGCAGGCAACCCCCTTTCCCCGCGGGACTCCAGCCCCGCCAGCTCGGCCAGGACGCTGCCCCCGCCCGCCTGGGCCCGGCCTCACCCACGACGAGCGTGCAGGCCCAGAAGGCCACGAAGACCCCGGAGTAGAGCAGCGCTAGCCCAGTCATGGCGGCAACGACAGCAGGGGTCGGAACGGTGGGGCCAGAGCTAAACCGCGTCCCAGCGTCCACCGTCCGCCCCGCAGTCTGTCCGCCCGCCCCGCAGCATCACCTGACGCGCCCACGTGACGCCCTGGGACCACGTGACTCCACGCCGGGCCCTGAGCTGCTGAGCCATTCGTCTCGAGCGTGGCGACGACGGACGACTGGCGCTAAGCATTGTGGGGGTTGTAGTCGCGCGCCTCCGGGTAGGCTCCGGCGCCTTCCTCACGAGATACTCAGGCTTTTAGCGTGTTCCCCCCCTCCCCCCGTCTCATACCTGAGCCAAGTCTGGGGCCTCTGTGGTTTAACCTCCAACCACTGCTGATCCTTCGGACCTTTGTCCTTCTACCAATTCCAGGAGAGTGCGGAGCTGTTCCTCCCGCTGAAGTATGCCTCTTCATCTTATCCCCTGGCCAACACCCATTGGTTCTTACAAATCATTCTTCCAGGACGCCTTCTCTAACCCACAGGCAGGGTGGGCCTGCATGCTGTGGGTTCCCTAGAGGCCCCGGAGATACGTATAAAATTTAACTAAGGTCATGTAAACCTCCGTGCTTAAAGGCCTCAATGGCTTCCATTTTCATTCAAAGAAAAAAAAAAAACAAAATTCTTACAGTGGCCTAGCGATGCTGCTCCCCAGACCTCTTACCTGAATTTTTGTTTCTTTTGCAGTGCAGATGGAGAGAACCCAGGGCCTCGGGCATGCTAGGCAAGGGTTCTACTATTGAGTGACATTCCCAACCCCGACTACATCTTCTAATACTCCTCCCCCCTCTCTTCTGGCTACACTGTCCTTGCTATTCCCTGACTGTTCCAGCCATGCCCCCACTTCATTGCTCTTAAATTCATTCCCTCTGCCTCTAATTATTCAGGTGACTCTACTTTATAACGTCTTTACTCACTTTCTTCAAAGTCCTTCCCTGCTTAGTCTGTGTAACGTTGCAACTTTCCCAGCTTTGTTTCCCCATGGTACATAGTTAGCACCATTTTTTTTTTTTTTGAGAGAGAGAGAGAGAGAGAGAATATTTTAATATTTATTTTTTAGTTTTCGGTGGACACAACATCTTTGTATGAGGTGCTGAGGATCGAACCCGGGCCGCACGCATGCCAGGCGAGCATGCTACCGCTTGAGCCACATCCCCAGCCCATTAGCACCATTTTGTATACCAAGTGTTTTATTCTGTTTGTCCATCAGAATGTCTTTCTGTTATTCTCACTGCTGCATTACCAGTGCCTGACAGAGTGGGTCTTCAATGCACGTTTATAAAATACATGATTGGCCAGGTGTGATGGTATGCCGTAATTCCAGGGACTCCATAGGCTGAGGCAAGAGGATGGAAAGCTCAAGGCCAGCCTCAGCAACTAATCGAGATTCTCAAAAAATAAAAATAAAAAAGTAAAAAACTCATTGGTAAAGTACCCCTTGGTTCAATCTTCAATCCCCTGTACTAAAAATAAATTTTAAATTATTTATTTATTTATTTATTTTATAAGTAAGGTCATGTAACTCCCCTGCTTCTGCCTCTACCATTAGACTGGGCACTCCAAGGGCAAGAAACCAGAAGATCTGGAAAATGCCAAACGTGGAGAATGAAGAGGTGAGTCTTTTCAAGTTATTCCTCTAAATCTTTTTTTTAAAAGTATATATTTAGTTGTAGATGTACACGGTATCTTTATTTTTTTATGTGGTTCTGAGAATTGAACCCAGTGCATCACATGTACTTGGCATGCACTCTACTACTGAGCCACAACCCCAGGCCTATTCCTCTAAATCTTTAGGGCCCAGCAACTCCAGTTTGCTTGAAGCACTATGTTGGTTTATGCCTGTAAACCCAAATGGACTTTACACTCCTTTTCTTCTGACAATTATTTTTTTCGTCCAAAAGATCCAGCTTAGGTATTCCCTTTGGGAAGCCTCTTGAGTCCTTGTCAGGTGCCTGCTATGGAATTCATCCGCCCCACAGGCTTTCCTCTTCACACTATTCACAGTACTGTTCACAGTGGTCACTGAATATTTAACTGTTTCTCTTCCCAGCTACACAGTGAAGACAGTAATCTGGTTAAATACAATTCACATCTCTCTCCATAGAATGTAAGTGTTTGATGAACAAAAAGAAACAGAAGGAGAAAAAGTATCTGGTTTATTTAAGTTTCTGTGATCTCCCCGAGAAAATAAGACTGAGCAGACACAGACCAACACAGTCCAATAAGAGTTTTCTACAGTGATGCGAATGTCCTATAATTGTGCCATCCCTTCATGCAGCTAATTGAGTGCTTGAAATGTGATTAGCATGATCACAAAACTGAGTTTTAATCTACTTAATTTCAATTAAATAGCCAATAGCCATATGTATCCAGTAGCTAAGATCCTGAACAGTACAGATCTAGACTAGTTGATTCTCACCTAGGAGCATCTGAGAACCCATGGGGGATACATCCCCATCAATGTCTGGAGACATTTTTTGGTTGTCAAAATTGAGGGACAGTGCTTCTGATGCCTAGTGGGCATTCTGCTAAACATTCTAACATAAACTGTACAGCTTCCTCAACAAATAATTATCTGGTCCCAAATGTTAACAGTGCTGAGGTTGAGAAACTGTGGTCTGGACCATCAAGCACCTGCCTTTTAACATGGGTAGACCCTCAACTGCAGACCAGAAACGGGATTAGCTACCCAGTCCTGGACTGCTACAAGGACAGATGGGCCCAGGACTCAAGGAAGCCCCCAAGCCTTTTGCCCATCAGTCAAATAACAGGAAGTTACTAAGCCAATATGTGCCAAGCCTCAAAGCAGGGTAGAATAGGACAGGCTCAGGCCCCATCCTCAGTGAGGGCTGCCTGCCTTCTCTATCCAGTTTCCTTCAAAAATCCTGGGAAGATGATGAGAAGTTGGTGCAAAGAGCACTGAAGGTCCTAGCAGCAACTCCTAAGTTCCTCTGTGTCTCTGGCCCCATGTGCTATCAGCTGCTTCCCTCATCCTCGTATGCGATAGCAATCCCTCGTCTTCCACTCACAGCTTCTGTCACCGGAGTCTGACCCAGGCGGGGCTCTAGTCCCTGCCAGCTTCGGGAACTAAGGAAGGAGGCTGTAGAGAGAGGTGGCTCAGGCTGAGTGGGCTGATCTGGAGAAAGAGTACAGCAAGGGGCACAGATTTATACACTTACCTGCTGGGCTACTCTCAGCCAATTCCAGTTGGGGCCGTGGGGTCAGAGCAAAGCATCCAGGATCATTTGATAAATGCCAGGCAGGTGGAGGTCGGAGCTCCCCAGAAATGAGTGACACATCTGGGGTGTCCCACAGCTCTGACTCAGGGGGTGGGAGGGGCACATGGAAGGGAGAGCCTGGAAAGGAAGGTGAGAGTAAATTCATGTTGGCCCCCCAACTCCATGCCCCAAGTTTCCAGTGCAGGTAGTGCTCCATCACTCACCGGGTAACAAGTCTGCATAATGTGTGAGATGAGGAGCCAGGCCTGGAGGTGGCCATGCAGGGTTGCAGGCAGCTTCCAGTTCACAAGGTGCCAGTATAGGCTGGAAGAAGCCACTAGAAAGCTGGGGGGCTAGGGCACCCAGAGGACAGGCCAAGAGCACAAAGACATCTATCTCAGGAAAGTTGGCAAGCTTGGCAGGGGTGGGCCGCCCCAAGGCCAACACATAGCTACGTTTGCCAGCAGACTTAGTTAGGTTCCGCAAGTGTGCTAGTGCTTCACGGTGTTGGGCCACACCCAGTGTGCCCGCCAATAGCCCTATCACATGGGCATCTCTGGCCTTCTCCACCAGATACTGTCTTCGTGCCCTTAGCCGCCCAGCCCGGGCACTCTCATCCTGTGTCTGTCCTGTGTCTGGGCAGCAGGAGGAAAAGGGCCGCCCTGGTGCCCATCCCAAGAGCAGACGGCTGAGGTCTGGATCAAGTTCAGGGTCAGAGCTAGCTTCAGAGCCCCCCACATAGAAGGCACCATATTCTTCCAGACATCTTCCTAAGGCCAGGGGGAAGTGGCGCCCAAAACGTTCCAATGGTTCAGGCACTGGTCTGGGGGACCCCACTGGCAAGGGAAGAGCTGGGCTAGAGATAAGCAGATCCTTGTATCTTGGGCGCAGGAGAGTGGCCAAGGCCTCTGGAAGAGAAGGAGGGGGTGTCAGTGTTGGGGCTTGGTAAATTGCGAGTTCCCTCATCTCTAGGGAACCAAATGTGACCCAAAAGTGAAGGATGGGCTGTGGTGGTGCACATCTGTAATCCCAGTGGCTTGGGAGGCTGAGACAGGAGGATCACGAATTCCAAGCCAGCCTCAGGAACGGGGAGGTGCTAAGCAACCCTGTCTCTAAATAAAATACAAAATGGGACTAGGGATGTGACCCAGTGGCCGAGTGCCCCCGAGTTCAATCCCTGGTCCCTCCCACTCTGCCCTACCCCCCAAAAAAGTGAAGGATGGGGCCAGCCCGTATCAATAGCTATATGGGAAATTAAGGAACACAGCTGCGGGTCCACCCTTCCCTCCTGCATAGGCATAATTCCTCACCCAGGGCGTGGGCACAGGCTGGCTCACTCAGTAGCACTACAGGCGCTGTGGGATCTGGGTTCTGTGCTTCAAAGGCCTGGGCACAGAGCTCCAAGGCCACAGAACGTTGACCAAAGACGAAGGCAACAGGAAGAGGTCGGGCTGGGGGACTTAAGCAGGCTGGTCCAAAGTGTACAAGGGCCTGAGCTCCAGCTTGCTCAGCACCCAGTACATCTACACAGCAGCTACAGGAGAGAGACCATCAGTGAGAGAGGTTCTCATCTGGAAGTGAGATGCTGTCATCAATAAGAAATACGGCCAGTGAAGAAAATGGTGAGATGAAAGGAAGACACTGTCACTGAGGGGAGCTAATATCAGGAGGAAAATCATCATCCTCTTGGAATCACAGCCATTGGAGGCACACAATGTCAAAGGGAAACCCCATAGGGCCTGGCCCACTTATGCCTGAGTTCATACCTGCCATAGGCCGTATCCCCTAAAATGAACATCTTTGATCCTGTGGCTTCCTCCAGTCGTGCAGCCACGGCCCCAGCGTCTCCCAACAGCTGGTCTGGGAACTGCAAGGCCACCTGTAAGCGTTAAACCATGGAGTCAGGAATAGCCCTGCTTCGCCAAGAGCCTCTTCAAAGGAAATCTTCTGGGAGCCCCCACTCGACCTCAAAGCCTGGAGTCTCAGAGCACTCCGCCTCATGGAGTGACTGGCGGGTGGTCTGCGCTGCGGGCAGACTGATACTCCCCAGTCCTCATCCTTAAGAAATCCCCAAGATCTTGATCCTCTTGGTGTCCCATCGCAAGAGAAGCGAGCCAGCCCTCTTTAGGTCTGCTCTCACCCGTTGACACCCCACGTCGCGGACAAATCCAATGACTCGCTCCAGCTCGTATACATGGTCGAGGTCGGCGAGAGGAGTGAGCAGTCCGGGGTCGCCCGCCTCCCGCTGCAGAGCCGCCTCCGCGGGGCTGCTAAACGTAGACTCCATGAAGCACAGCTTGGGTGGCAGGATGCAGCAGGGGACTACCTCGGTCAACTTCGGGGCCCGTACCCTCAAAAGCAGTCCTCCAAAAAGCCACTTTTTGGGAAGAAGGGAAAACAGCTTGCCCACTACTCCTGGATTTCAACTACGAACGTGCAAACGCGTGCTCCGCTGGACACGGGTTTGTCAGGGGAGACTACTTCCGGGTTTGAGGCGTGGTCGATGGCAACCTTACCAATCCCAAATCAGCACCGCTCCTACTGTCCAATCCTCGCTTCCAGGTCCCACAGAGAACCAATGACCTGCCTGCATCAGAGACCAGTCGGAAGTGCCGCAGAAGAAGGCGCGAGGCCCCCTGGGCGTTGTAGTTTCCCTGGCTGCGGATCCCCGCAGAGGCGCGCTGTCGGATTCAGCCCACCGACCACCTACAGGAATATCGACGGACCGACTCCCTGAAAGTCACTATCCCGGGGCTCTCCACCACTGCCCAGATCCTATCTGGCGGTTACTAATGATCTCATGTGCACTATATCGCCTGGGGGTGGGGGTGGACATCATAGCACAATTTTTAACACGGGCTGAACTGCCTGGGTTTGAATATCAACGCTTGGCCAACTGGTGTGGAAAAAGGTGGAATAAAAAAGAATGGAGGACACAGTGAGGGGCTTAACAATAATACCTCCTGATAGGATTGTCCTGAGGGTCAAATTAATTTAATTATAACACTTTACAAATTAGTCCTTTGAATATCCCATTTGCTATTATAATCATGGCAGTCTGTCAATTAGGTAAACTTTTGAGCACTTATTGACCACCACGCACTACATTTCTAGCCTCTGAATTAAGAATTATCCCATTTTACAGAAAACAGACCCAGGTTTGAAGACTAAAAAGGCACAGTAGCCCGGCAAGGTGGCACAGGACTGTAATCCCAGCAATTTAGAAGGTTGAGGCAGGAGGATCTCGAGTTCAAAGCCAGTCCCAGCAAAAAGTGCGGCACTAAGCAACTCAGTGAGACCCTGTCTCTAAATAAAATAGGGTTGAGTATGTAGCTCAGTGGCCCAGGTGCCCCTGAGTTCAATCCCCGGTACCAAAATAAAAAATAAAAAGACAGTAGGTCCGTGGCATGATCAGCATAAAAACCAAGTGTACTGATTTCAGAAGTCAAGCTTCAGATTCCTCATTCTCCTACTTTCTGTAGCCTGCATTTGTCATGGGGAAGGGTGGAGGTGGGAGCAGAAGACACCTGGACACCAGGTGGGTGGGGGGAAATAAAACCTAAAAGTATGTGAAACATCTCCATCTTCTCCAGAAACACGGAGTCAAGAATAAAGTGAAAATGGGACTGAGAAGGGTTAGAGGAAGGTGGAAAGAGCAGCTTTATGATGACACAGGGGAACTGACACCAACTAGTGTGGGAAAAGGTGGAATAAAAAAGAATGGAGGACACAGAACTTCTGCAATGGTTGGGAGGGAAAAATGGAGGGGGGATGAATGTGGGCATAACCAGTTCCCCTGTCAAGGGGACTCAAAGCTCATGGAAGGGAGTGAGAACAGGTTCCTGCTCTTCAGATTTTATGTGTGTGTGTGGGAGGGATATTGGGGATTGAACCCCAGGACACTCTACCACTGAACTGTATCCTCAGTGGTTCCCCCTCACTAAGTTGACAAGGCTGCCCTTGAACTTAAGATCCTGCTATCTCAGCCCCCGGAGATGCTGGAATTACAGGTGTGCACCACCATGCTCTGCAGATCTTACTAAGAAGGCTCGAGTGCTAGAGAGGCAGCCCAGGTGAATTATGGCTGAGAAGACAGAAAAGGAAGCAACACTGCAAAGGGAAGAAAGCAAGAGCAGGCCAGGTGCTGTCCTTGGTCCTGACAGAGCCCTGACCATTTATGCTTAAGATCCCTAGAAGAAAGAAGTTACAGATGGACATGCATAGGAGCTACAACACCTTCTGCCCACCCCACCACACAGTCCCATATTCTTTTTTCTTTCTGGGTGTACACATGTGAGGATTGAACCCAGTATCTTGCAAGTTAAGCAAGTGTTCTATCACTGAGCAGCATTCTCAGCCCTCATTCCATTTTCTATAGCCCACCTCAACCATATGCAAATTTGGGTGCTTTAAAAAAAATACCCATGTCGGCTGGGTATATAGCTCAATTGGTACAGTGCTTGCCTTGCATGAATAAGGCCCTGAGTTCAATCTCCAGCACCACACAAAACAAAACAAAAAAACCCACAAGCCAGTGTGGTGGCACATGCCTGGAATCCCAGCGGCTCAGGAGGCTGAGACAGGAGGATCTTGAATTAAAAGCCAGTCTCAGCAAAAAGTAAGGTGCTAAGCAAGTCAGTGAGCCCTGTTCTAAATAAAATATGAAACAAGCCTGGGGATGTGGCTCAGTGGCCAAATGCCCCTGAGTTCAATCCCTGGTACCAAAAAAAAA